AGCATCAGCTTCCATCAGCATTACTTTACTTGTGTAATAAGCAAACTTGTCATTTAATGCTGCTAGTTGTTGTTTATCCTCTTGACGTCCCATATATCCTTCATTCTGTGACATCCAAAGTGCGTCACAATTCATTGAGAATATTCCTTCATTAGATCCAGTTGCCATGTGACAAAAGCCATCCAAGGACGTTGGTCGTTTAAGTGTAGTTCGTAAGGTTGATCTGAAACTCACCGACGCATATCCATCATCGGTCATTTTTCAATGTATTGATGAAACTCTTTGGTGGTAACAATAGATTTGAGAAGACAAAAAAAGAAAACAAAGCTATTTATAAAGAAGACAGGTGTGTTGTAACCAGATTTTGATATCTCGATGTTGTCAACTATCTATAGACACAATACTTGCTAAATTTGTGTCCACACAAAGTATAAGCAGAGGATAAGAGAAGAGTTTGAAAAGGTAAATTGAGAACAACGTGTCAACAGAATATCACCAAGAAAGATAACAATTCAATGTTCCTCTGTGTATACGAAAGAGAGTGGGAAATAAAATACAAATAATGATGGTGCATGTTTATCCCACCAGTATTCTCTTGTGTCATCCAATGTCGTTTAAGAGAAAAACAACATATAACCTTTCTATTTTTAAAATCTACTTCACTTGTAAACTAGCGATGTGCATGAGCAGAATTTTCACGTCCTTATCTAACGTTCAGAATCGTTCAGCCTTTAGCAAGTTGCATTATTACCAGACCTTTCAGTTACAAAGCGGAAAGTCGATCTTTAGTCAATAAACTAGGCTTGCCCGATCGTGAAGTCAGGCGCCATTACTTTCGACCTATATCGGTTTATAAAGACTATAACAATTTAACAATTGACTCTTCTCGATTCTCAGGATTATCTTACTAAATTAACTTCTAGATCTTCTCGATCATTGGTCAGTATGCCCTTCACTTCTTTCGAAACTGTTCAGACATCATTCTTTTGGAGGACTGCGAAGGACCGGAATGCTAAAGATCTTGAAAAGCTTGTTTCGATCAATTCTCTCAAAAACTTAAAAGGACTTTTTCACATTGTCCTGTCATACATTCTGCTATAGCTTTCATCATATCAAGCACTATAGTATATATTCATTATGAAGGATATCGTGTGATGATTAATTATCTCATAGGAAGAACGACAGAGTTTTCTAAAAAATATACTCACTTTGTGAACTAATTATAGCATAACTAAAACAAATATCCGAAAACTCACTTCAGATGTGTCATCTACAGGTCATCTACTTTCGAGTCATCTTTTTCCCAAATGTATAACTCATATGTTCTGCAAATAATTAAAACTGTCAAAATGTTAATCGATTTGTTTACAAAAGATGATTCAAGAGTTTTACCAGTAAATCTACTCAAAAGTAAAGAAAATTGAAAAAATGCAACAAAGACCGAAAGAGATATTTTTTCTAGAAATAATAAACAAAAGAGTAACCCAGGTCAAAACATCAACTCAGGATCTTACACAATCTTATAAAATCTTACGAAAAATCATAGAAATGGATTCATCTTACTAAATCTTATAAAAATCATACAAGAATCTTACGAAATCTGATGAAATCTTACTATAAGATCTTACATCGAGAATCAGTTTCTATGTTTCTTACAGAATCTGATACAATACAAATCGAAATCGTACAAGAATCTTATAAGATCTTACAGCAAGATTCTTTAACCTGGAAATCCATTTTTCCACAATCTAATCATTTCACATAGATTATATTCATGATGAAGTGTCTGGAAAGTCGCTCTTTTGAATGAAGAGGATTATACCCACCAGATGGCTGATGCATTTCGAAAAGAAAGGCCAATACAGTTCAAACTACGTAATTAAGAAAAGCGTGCGTGACTGATATAGTATCAATTGCATTTTCTCAAGTAGTATCTTTATCGTGCTAAACATTTCCAATTGATCTACTTTTCTTCTGAGGAGTATGCGAGTAAGGGTAAGATAAAACGTTTATTTCCCAGTACAACTAACTCTGGTGATCTTAACCACATCTCATTCCACTATAATTTAATTGCTACGTATTTGAAAAATAAAACACCGATTAAATGTGCAGGAAACCAAATTACGGTGAAACAAGATACTATGAATGTGATCAACACATGAATGAGACAAAAAACCTCATTGTTTGGAGAGAAAAAAGACCCTGTTAAACGTGGTTTATGGTCATGAGGGTTAGTTGTACTTTTTATGCTGTTTTAGAAATCTACTATATTCTATTTAGTTTCAGAAATCGGTGTAGTAAAGCGCAGCCTGTGAGTGCATTTTGAGACTGTTAATAGATGAGCTACCCTAAAAATAATAATATAACTTTTTCTTGTGTAGTGAAAACGAAAAAAGTTCGATCAAACTGTTACTGCTATGAGCGCCGACCGAGGAATAGATAGGCTAGTCACTAATATCTTTAAGTTCATAAAATAGTATCTCTAGTTTCATCTATTTGAGAATGACGCATGTAATGGTAAAGTAATAATCACGATATAGTATTTAAGCTTGACTATCTAACTCTTTCCAGCCGGCTGTTTCGAAAACACAGCAAAAAGTGCTGTAAATGGCAATATCAAGCTGGAAACGATTTATTTGAGTGATACATTATTATCTGATATCTATGTATATCGCATACGAAGATTGTAACGCTTCTAATCTAACTCTCAGTCCTAGTACAGGTCGATACATTACTATAGCTTAGCTTGACCATTATCTATATCAAATTCGAGTTCTAAGAAGTGTCGATGGAGATGCTCAGGTCAGTGAAACGATTTTTTAGTTCACAAGGCTCCTCAAATGTATGAAAGTATTGGCGCTATTGCAGATGCAACAACATTGATGAAACATCCAGAATTTTTAAAAAGTTTAGCAGACACGATTAAGACAGAGTGGAAAGATTTCTTAAAAGGAATCTGTTGAACTGCATTAGTGCTTCGAATAATGACTCGTGTCTTATTCGAAGTTAATCTGACAACTTGCACACGATAGAATTTCATTGTCTTGCATCTTCGAAGGTACTAGCGATCATGGTATCGGTAACCGTGAAAGACGTTCTAGAGATTGAAAATTCCCAAAAACTAGTGTTGCCAATGAAACTTTTTGGAAACCTGTAAACATACTCCTTCTTTCCTCCCGAGTATGATGTGCATGTGCTTCCTTTTGCTTGGTTGCCATCAGTTTTTCTCTAAGAACTAGTACAGATACGGTGTGCGAGAAAACACATTGATCCGGAAACAACAAATTTAGACAAAACGGGGTAAAAGAATGAGTCATAAATATGTAATGTATATAGAAGTAACGAAAGATTCGTAAATGAAGAAGTTTATGCTTCAGAATGCATCCGCTGAAATGGGTATGAAAGTACACGTATAAAGGATGGAACAACGATAGAAAAGTTTTAAAAGCAAAATGGCTTTTTATTGTACGACAAAAATACCTGTTGCATAGATATGGCTGGAATAAACTATGATTTGAATAAAATTTTCAATCACTGAGATGGAAATAGTTTATTTCCAGTAGTAAGATGAACAAATACTATGACAACGCGTTTTTGGGCTCTCTCTCTACCAGTGCAGTAAGCTCTTTGACTCTTACTTTTTTTCGCGACTGATTGTCAGCAGTGATATCAAGAGTGAAAAAGTCTTTTTTAGTGCTGGAACAGATACTGGTGCTGCATATTCTACCACGGTTCACAATAACCCATATTACACTGTAATGTTGAGATAATTAAACAGACAATTTTAAACATTTTCTGCGAGCTTCGAAAGCTCGCAGAAGACGTTTAAAACTGTCTGTTTAGTTATCTCAATATTAAAGTTTTTTAAGAAACATTATTATACAAAAATAATTATGTTACCTTGTAGAATTTTCGTTTGTAAGTTCGTTGATTTTCTCGAAATTCTTTTTCGTCTAGAGAAATGGTTTTTTTAATTAAAAATAAGCAGAATTTTTACTTTTCTGTGATTATATAATATTTTTGGATTTATAATAAACCAGACTCTCATCCTCATCCTCAAAATATTTTTGGAGACGGCGCAATTTATAAAGAAGCAGGGCCGTAGCCAGTCGGTAGGCAAACAGGGCACGTGCCCACTCCTTGAGATTTCACTTCAATGTATAATATATACTAAATTTATACACTGTATATCTGATTAATAATATTCGAAGACTGAAATTTTTTCTGTGTTTGCCTGCAAGCGGCGTTGTAGTCTTGCCCACCCCTTACCGAATTTCCGGTTACGGCCCTGTAAAGAAGGCCTTTATGGGGGGGGAGGGGGAGAACTACTTTTCAGCTTACTAGTAGATTTTACTTGGTAGTCGTTTATTTTAGATCTCTTTCGTGATTATATATATATCTTTTACAACAATCAGAAATGACAACAACCGGTGTGTCTCAAATGAAAACTCCATTGAATCCACGTCCATATATTAATGAATTAGTTGGAAAGAAAATATTAGTTCGTCTTAAATGGGGAATGGAATACAGGTATGTCACATAATACTTATTTTTTGTGTTCTTTTTTATGCACTGAAACTCCTGTCTGCGAACATTTGCTAATCTAGAAAACATTATCATATTAATCAAAATAAATTTGACAATCAACGAGAAAAATCATCAAAAAAATCATAGTTCCCATTGCAATAATCCCCAGAAGAAAAATTTCAAAACAACTTGCTTATTAACGTATTAAGTTTAACATTTAATTCTAGTCAAAAAGTTTTCTCCATATTAATGGAACTTCACTGTAGAAAAGGATTTATTTACTTTAGAAGAGCGTATTTTATTAAGATAATGACCGAAAATACTTCCAAAATGTTGCGTTATTGTAGCATGAAGGATAATTAAATCAGTCATTTTGTAGAATTTGGTTTCTTTACAATTATTGTTTGCATATTTAATCGTTTTACTTATTATTTCAGAGGTGTATTAGTTAGTGTTGATCAATATATGAATGTTCAATTAGGTAATGCTGTCGAGTATATTGATGATCAAAATAAAGGACCATTAGGTGAAATAATGATTCGTTGTAATAATATTTTATATATACATGGAATGGACGAGGATGAAGAAGACGATAATAATGATATGCAATGAAAACATAATGTTCTTGAAAACAAAAATTGTTTATTATTGTTGTACTCTGTGTTGTTTTTATTGTTGTTTGTTTGTTTTTCTTTTGTAATGTAAAACTAGGCAAGAAATAATAAAATGAAAAAACTTCATCTTATGTTTTTCTATAATGATTTGAAAATTATAAGTTGTATTTCGTACTATCTTCCTGGTTTTCGTAACTAATGTTGAATACTCAAAAGTTATAGAAGATTGTTAATAAGATCTTGTGCTAAAACGTAGCTTACATGTTTTCGACGTAAGTTCAGAAATCCACTTTCAGTTATAACTGAAGTCCAAGAGTTTTATCCGTTTGTTTAAATATTTGTTCGAAAATTTCTTTAAAAAAAAATGTTTTTCCTACAGATCAACGTTGTGTAAGTTTTGTAACTCTCTAAATCGGATAGTAGTAGGAACAGTCACGATTGTTTTGCATTAGATAAAAAAATGATATAGTTTCTAATCAAAGATCCGACGTTACGTTTCTAGTGGAAAGCTGTAACCAACTATTTAAGTATTTGTATAGCTGTTTTTTGTTCCATTGTCTTTTTGTTTAAGAATAAGATTAGTTTATTTCGACAAAGGAGAAACCGTACAATTCTTTTTTTTTTAATAGATTGTCAAACCTTATTGTTGAGTTTCTTCTGTTTTTACTTTGTAGGTAAATCTATATACATATATATAATACCTATTTTCTGTTTGATCTGATAATGTTATTACAAAATAATCCACCAGCAACTACGTGTCCAACGATGCATCCAACATTTTTACAACAATCCACACTACCTTCGCAATATTTAACTACTAACAATTCACAACAACAACAGCCAAATTCAGTCTATCCATCACGTCCACCAATTTATAATGGACCGTCACTCATTTCTCCATCATCTCTACAGTGGTTACAAACAAATGGAGGAAGAATAATGCCAGATAGTCGCTTATTACCAACAACAACAGCCACATCCTCGCATACATCATTGATGATTCAACAACAAGAACAAAATCAAACAATTCAATTCGATGAAAATCTATCGTATATAAATAATAATTATATGAAAAAAGAACAAATATTTGTAAGTAATTCATTTCAGCTATTTTATTTTCATTTTAAAAAGGAATTCTATTATTCCAGGACAATAATTTCTTTTTTTAACAAAGGTATTGTATAAGTGTGAGTGAGTGTGAAGAAGAAAGCTGGTCAGCTTTAATCTGATTAACATCGCTAAATATCAAGCATCTTTTGAGGATCTCTATCTAAACTAAACTAATAGTTAATCTTTGATTAATATCCCTTTTCTATAGGATTCGTTTTTAATCGATGCTTTATTCATTTGACAATAGCTATAAAGCAAAATAAAACTTTGATTAACTGTCAGATATTTTTAGAAAATAACACATCTGTTTTTGCTGCTAAGCCAAGCTTGCTGTGAAATGATTCATTTGCAAAAATGTTAAACTTAATTGCAAAAAACATTTCATTTAATCTTTTTTCTCTTGCTAAAAAGTTGCTTTCTAACAAAAAGAAAAAAAATTATCTTAAAATAATTAGTATGTGCTAAGTTATACATCTTACTTATAGGGCTCTTCTTTTTCTATAAAACGAATTATGTTGCAAATTATTATAATTGGTAAGATAAATGAAAGCACGATTATGTAACGATTTCTGTCACATTCGTAAATATCATTGCACGTGCACATCCCGCACCTGTATTGTTGTCATTGTTGTATAAGGAACACATTTTTGATTGTTATTTTCATCGTCTCACATGCTTATTGTTCAACGTAGTGTTATTTTAGCATGTGCTTTATTTTGCAACTTGTGTTGGTGTTGGCAAATGCGCTCAATTGAATTATTTTTATTAAATATCAGAGAAAGAGAAAGATAAAGACAACAGCATGTTTAAATTTAAAAATCTGAATTATTTTTAGAATAAAATACACTTTCTCTGTTGTGTATCTCTCGTGACATGTGCATGAGGCATGATGTAGCATGAATATTTCGTAGTGTATTTACTTTTTGTGCACTATATCTGTAAGCATGTCCCTCTCTTTTTAATTTTAATTTTTTTTGTTAAAAATACAATTTCTCCCTTGTACTGATTCAACGGAACGATTAAATTTACAAATGTTTTGATTATGATGTCTAATAATGAACTTATGAATCTGATTAATGTTTTTAAAACCTTTAAACGTAACAGTTCAATCAATTTAAGCTTATCTAATCATTTTATTTGTTACTTTCTGTACGAGAAAAATTTGATGATACTAGTTCAAAAAAGTGATTTCAAGTTTGATCTTATTCTATCGATAAATTATAGAGAATATTCCCCGTTTCATTCATTATTTTATCAAATGTTATCATGTTTAATTTCATTTTATCAAATACTGTTTAGTTGAGTAATGAAGTTTTCTTTTATAATATAAATAATAGCTGTGTTAGTTTTCACTATTAACGTAATAGTTGATTCATTCTTTTTTTCTACAATTAATACTATAATTTTATGCCAGTAAATAAAGATCGGAAACTAAATATATGTTCTAACTAATTTTTTTTAAGTTATATAGATGATGTTTTTTTGAATTACCAATTTTTTGTCTTTTTTACTAAATGTTTGTTTCCATTATGCTCACGTTTTCTTTTTTTTTTTGTTTCCAAAGAACAAATAGAGTGTAAGCTATTTAAAATGAACGATTATTTTATCATTGTTTTCTCAAAGAGAAAAAAAAAAAGAAGCGCAAGATTATTTCCGGTTTTTTTCCTTCATAGATATGACAAGGATGAGAAGAAAGAAATAGATGGTGATAGAGGATGACAAAAACTGAAATAAGAATTTTCTTCTTTTTTTTTTTGGTTTTTTTTGCAATGACGTTGTAGATAATAATTAATAAGTGCCGGTGAAATTTAATATTTAAATATTGTTAATTCTCATCACTGTTCGTCAGTTTTATATAAAATATAATTTTCTTTTCATCCATTTATAATGATGAATGAGTATTAGTGATTTATATCAAATTGATAGAAAATTCTACTAAAGATTTATTTTATTCAATCTCAATGCAAAAAGATGTTTTAGTATTAGTACTAAATTACGTAATACTTAGATATTTGCAAGACGATCCCGATCCTACGGGACTTTTTACAAGATGGAGATCAGATTTTTTTGAAAATAGTCTTGTATGAGGTATAAAAGTTTTTTAGTATCTATAGCTTCTCGAGATAGAACTCACACAAAAATCTAAAAATCTTCCATTAATAATTTCATCACAATTGTGCTATTTTTCAGGTTAGTCTGAATCATTATCGTACTGATATACTTTGTTCAAAGTTCACATGTTTTTAAAAACAGATTAAACTACAAGTCTGAGGAAATGGGACCAGGAATAAAACTTTTTTTCTTCATAGGATTGGAATAAAAAAAAAACGTTTGATTCCACAGATCTCTAGTAACACTAACTGTTTGAATGTTAAGACTATAATTTATAGTTTTCCAAGACACTTTTTTTGCTTCTTATTATGATGTTCATTTAAACAAACATGAAAAAAATTATTTAAAATCAATTCAATAAATTATGTTAGATTTTATATAATGAGGTTTGTTATAGTTTGCGTGATAGAATAATTATATCCATGGAAAAAAGAAAGTACAAACACAACTGTTTCTTAATCCTTTTCTAATAATGTTGTTATATAAAATAAGCCAAATGAACATTTTTTCCAAATTTATTAATACCGGATTTTTTTTTCTTCTTCTTCACCTTCGTCGACGGAGAATAGTTTATCCATGAACTCAAAATATTGTCCTTCTTTATTTACTTGTTTCTTTTAAGGGTTTTGTTAACACCTGCTTTGCTTGACAGAAAGAAAAAAGGTTTACAAATTCAAGTATACACATAAACAATTGTTTATATGATTAGATTTTAATCTTATTTGGCTTTGTCATGCTCGCACGTATATTACTTTAAAACAAGGTCTTAAAAAGACAATTCAGTGTACGTGTCATTGTAGCAAGGTCAGAAACATTTTTGATTTTCTAGTATACGCATAGGTCGATAGAGCTCAAGATTAAATTTTAAATAAGTGATATTCATTAGTCAAGACTAAAAAACATATGTTAGTTGTTGTTGTTGTTGTTGTTTTTTGTTATTACAATTGAAAATAAATCTTTAAAAAATTTGTCATTTGATCACTCTCAAAATCAATAGAGATCATTAATTTTTTTAATTTCACCACAAATTGGCTATATAATAGAAGAAATCCAGCATGTTTATTTGCACGGACATAGAAAGGATTTCTGACGAGATATGAGAGACTCTACACATCCAGTTGCAAAAGAAATAAACATAAGAACAAGAAGAAGAAAAGAAAAGCGTAATTGTAACAATAATTTTCTAATAGATTATACATGAATGTGATCTGATCACGTACAATTGGCTTTGCCAAGACATGAAAGAAAAGGATAAAAGAATAAAAGTAAAAATTTTTTTTCTTATTTCTGTACTCTTTTTTTCAATTTTATCTCTTCTTTCTCATCTTCACATGTGTTCGACATGAAACAGTTATGTATGAGATATAGAAGAATCTAAAAGATAAAGTAAAAATGAGAAAAATATGATATTTGTAATATTACTTTTGTATATACATTTATCACGACTGATCGTTTTGTTTTTGTTTTGTTCTTATTTCGTTATTGTTATTGTTATTATAATTGTTATATTGATCAAAAAAAAAAAAAAGTGAAGAACAAAGAAAGATAGATTGAAAGAGAGAAAAAAAGAAGAAGACAGATATTTTAAACAAAGATAGTTTTATTCACCGATTTTTTTCCACTCACAATGATGATGATACATTCAAAAAAATGTACTATCACAGTGATAATAATAGTAGTAGGGCCTTTCGTTTTCTTTTTTTGTTGCGCTTTTTGTCTTCTTCAATCATTTATTCACATGATCATGATAATCATTACTACTGCATATACAAAAATGAATATGTATACAATAAAAATAGCTCTACATTTTGTGTATATGTATCTATGTGCAAAAAAGAGAAATATATAGAAGTTTTTTTTCTCTTTTTTTTTTCATATTGTATTTGACAAAATCAAGAAAAAAATAGAGAGAAAGAGAGAGAGAGAAAGAGAGAGAACGCGAGGTGTTCGTTGAACTAATCTTCTTCTCTATCAGTTAGTATGACTACTTTTATATCTATATCTTACGTTTTGTGTATGTATTAATCTAGGTGTGACATGAAAAATTCCTTTTTTGTTGTTAATTTTGATGATATATGTGAAGTCGAATAAATCAGAAATATCAATTATTGTTTTATTTAAAAATAAAACTATCAAAAAGAAATTGAAACAATGTTACTAATTGTAAGTGATTATTTGCGTTAATGACAAGTAAATAAAACTAAGTTGATAAATAACTTATTTGTTTCTACTAAAATACTGATTGACAGTTGTGTAATATAACAGAGACTATGAAAACATAGTTATTAATAAACAAAACGTGGAAATATTTTCTTACTCAATCGTTAGAATAACTATTTTCTATTATCGACTCAAAATAGGAAAACGATTATGAAGAAGAAAAAAAAAAAACAGTTTATTTTTTTTTTGCTAATTCAATTCAATTTTTCCATTTTTACACTCTCCGAATAAATTAAAACTTTAAAAAATATTTTTTATCATAAATTGAAAACACACTTCATTTCTACCTAATATCAAAAATAAATCACTAGTTGATCTTCTAATCTCTTTTCACAATTATTGCTTCTTTGAACTACGTTCTGCTTGTAGAATTTTAAATGCTTATTATGTACATTTGATAAGTCAGGTTTCTTAGATATTTTTCTTTTGATAAAATATTGTTGTTCATATACAATATAGTTGCTGCTTGCTTCATGTTTGAAATATTTCCATCATAATAATATTTTTTATAACAAGATTGTTGTTATTATTTTTCTTTTTATAGCGTCCAACAATGATAACAACTGGAATAAATCCGTCTTCAACGGTCACAAATCGTGGTGGACCTCTGTTAACAAAAAATGATTTATATTCCTTACAAGAATCAACGGTATGTTGAATTTTAGATATTTTTAAAAATTCTAACTCTTTTATATCATTTCCGTTAAAATAAAAAATAAAAAATATATTTTAACTATTACACTACCAATCGTCTACTACTACTGTATGTTATATAAATTTCAAAAGAACAAACAAGTAATGTAATTGTCGAGACGATGTTAGTAAAGATAATCTCTCTTTTTTTTATATCAATATCTCTGTGTGCGTGTTAAATAACTGTAACATAATCGTCATATTATCAATTTTAATTAGATAAAATTGAAGTTTATTTTATACGCTAAAAATTACAAAGTGAATTGATTGTGATTTACATCAAAGATTAATACATAGAGATTTTAAGGTGTTGTATGATACTGACCTCTATAGGCCCCTATTTTAGTGATATCCTACTCTGCCTCGGAATTGTTACGCTACTAGACTTCGTGCCCAATTAGCTGCTCAAGTATTTTCTAGAGATGAAGTCTTCTTATGGGTCATAGTAGAAAAATGAAGATCATTGGATCATCATCAATTTAAATTGTGTGGGTATATGATCTCTTTATGAATGAATTAGTGATATTTTTGCCAGATTTTGGATTTATCGAGCTCATTATCTAAAGCCTTTGAGTGTTTTTTTTGAATAATAGTCGACGGATTATTATAACACCTACTTATCCTGTTTTTACATCAGTTACCTCACAGAAATGTCGTAATAACCTTGAGTTACGTGCAAATATTACCCGGTGAGTATTACTGTATATGTCCTATCTGTATTTATAGCGAGGCATAACATAATTCTTTCAAATGCGGGGCGGGTGCAACAAGAGATATTCTATATGAAACTTCTCTTCTTACTATAGAAATCTTCTTTTTTGTGTTATAACATGTACTGAAGGAGAAATTATTTGAAATTCTTTTGAAAAAGTATTTTTCTAGTACTTTTGAGACTTAGAGAGCAGTTGTGGTCTCAAACGTGTGGTTAGATAGATGGAGCATATCAACGTAAAGAAAAAAATAAAGTTTATTTACAGTCGCGGAAGAGTGCCTTTTTCGTATTCAGGACAATCGACAACCCAGAGGAGTTTCTATTTTTGACGAGACGTATTGCGAAAAGTTTAGGAGAATTTTTCAAAAAAAAGGGCGAAAAGAAATTTTCATGTGAAAATAATATTAGTTTCAAAATATTTCATAAGCTTTTGACAATATATCTCGCCAAAATAGAAAATCTGGATTATCGATTGTGCTGAAGACGAAAAAATACTTATCCACAATTTTGTCTGAACTTTATTTTTCTGTCGATGATATTATGTTCAATATCTCAGTGCATTGTAACTGGTGACATCTTCTCGACACAGTAAGACATTGAAAATTATTTTGTATACGATTATCCTTATGAAAATTATTTTGTTAGGCGCTTACACTTATATCTTCCAATCATTTCGTTGTCTGATGTACCATGTACAACGAGAAAGAGAATAGTAAATTTTCACATGAATTGAGCTTAACTTAAAATTTTGAGTTTTATTTAGTCGACACAGAGATCTTCAGAGTAGATCTTTAATTCCAATTATTTAGTGAGACCAATTATTTTCTAAACTTGTTATTTTTATCAAATAGTCTACTGTCAGTTGCATCTTTATTTGATATGAAACTAATAAATTGAGAATATAGTGAGCTCTCTAGAGACACTGAACATGACTATTTTTTTTGTAATAGAAGAATTTCTTTTTTTTTGTGGTAACAACTAAATGAATATTCATGATTATCTTTTATTATCATTATCAAAAAAAAAAAATTTTTGACTTCCGATATTGATCATTTCATTTCATTTATTTTGTACGCATTTTATTATCATCATTACTACCATCACCAAATGTGCAAATAATAAAAAGGTCATAGAATAGAATGGTACTGTAAACTGACCGAAATCAATGTTGTTGTTAAAAACAGCCTGGAAAAGAAGAAAGACACTCTTATTCTTATATATCTATGTATAAGACAGAATAAGATGAATAATTGATAATATATGTGTTTGAGATAAGAAAGATTCATCTAGACAGTAATAAATGATCAGTGAGAAAGAGGGAGAAAGAGAAATAAATATATGCATAGTTCGTTTCATTAGTGTGTGAAGAAGAAATAACAAAAAAAAAGAAAAAAAAAAAAGATTATAATTTGATTCTCTGCAAATCTTTCAAGGATTTTTAGTTTGTTTAAATAATTGTGTAAAAAGAGAAAGAAAATAGATGCGGTCAGCTGTCCATATAAAATAATAAACAGACACTTTATTTATGCTATATGCAGTAACATGATTCGAATCATGTGTTCGACACACACATAGATATGCCATGATAAAAAAAACCAAAAAAATGATTGATTTTAACAGCTGTATCAGTAAAATAAAATAAAAAAAACAGTATTCACTCACTAGCACATATGCTATGAATTTTTTTCGTCTGTTGTACAATAGACCTTATTTTGTGACTTATCTATTTGAATAACATATTTAAAAATTGAATTTTTTATAGTTTGTAGTGAAAGTTGATTTTTATATCTAAAAAAAAATAGATGAATACTTTTCTAGAATAGAATTGTCTTTGTTACTAATTAAATAATTCCATTGATAATTTCTTTTCATCATGAATATTATTTGCTAGAGGAGAGGTGAATTGAGAGGAAAATTTAGTTGTACTATGTATAAAAACGGTTAGTTTGTATTTCTAGTCTATTTTAAACAATAATTATGACTAACATAGGAGTCTGTTTGTATGAATCAATCAATTAGAATGTAACATCAACAATTCTACTCTACTTTTGAAGATTTCTTCTCTTTGTCTTTGTTTCTTTGGTCAATATTATTTTTTATTTGATTAGATATACACGGAAATAGTTCTCCCTCCCTCTCTCTCTCTCTCTCTTCATTGGGCTGTGTCTTTCTCTTGTTCTTCTTCTCTGAATGTCATAGTGGTTTATATTTGCAGCTGTAACTTCTACTCTATGTTCTTCTTTTAGATTTCAATTGACTTTATATTATTATTATTATTAAGAATGATCAAAAGTATTAATTAATTTTTTTTCCATAGTTACGAAAAAAAATCTATCAACTAATTAAGGTTTCTGTAGAAAGAATCCTATGATTTTTGTACTAAAAAATTTTCTATTGATTACAGTCATGTTGAACAAATCAGTTGTGACTAAAAAGTTTCTTGGGATCTTCTATAAAAAGTAGAATTTTTTCTTCTCAAAAAAAAGTATTTGTTTTTTATATTATCGTCTATTCTCTAATAGATAAGAATAAAAATTTTGTTTTACGTAAATCCTTATTTAGTATCTGCCGAATATTGATGATGGAAAAAATGTGATGACTTCTACGCACAATTAACCGATAGAAATAGAGAAAAGATAAACCATATTAATACTGTTGCTGTTATATTTCTGCTTGATTTCTCCTATCTATTATCTACTTGTCCGCGAACTTCTTATTCTCAATCTCTTTTTCTATCTATCTGTTCTATCACCAGTAGAAAGAGAAGTAAGGGTAGGCGTTAAATATATAAATATGAGAAAAGGAAATGTATCAACACAAAATATTTTACTCTCATCTATAACCTAAATAACAGGGTCATCACTTTTCATCGTAAGAAGATATAAGATATAGACACAGAATACTGTTCTACTAATAAATAATAGTAATAATCATAATCATAAATGATGATAACAAACAGGATGTGCTGAAATGTCTTTTTATCGAAACAAAAGAATCTACTTTCTTTTTTCAAATATTCGTTTCATTCTATTCGGTTTTTCATGTCGTTAATTATTCTTATACGTGCGTGTGCCCATTTTGTACTATGCTCATCTTTCATTTTTTCCTTCCCTCTTTTCTTTTCATTTCTCTTCTCTTCTCTTTTTTTTTTGGATTAAATAGATAGCGTACAAGCAGTAATTGTAACAACAGCAGCAACATCCTTCATCTTTTTTCCTTCCTCTTCTTCTTGTGAACATGACAATAACCGACGAGTCGACTTTGCGTTGATGCCATTATTCATTAGATAGACAAAAATAGATTTATAATAATCCATATCTTTTCTCTCTCTCTTTCTCTTTCTCTCTCTTTGTCTCGTTCTCTCCTCCTTTGCTTGTTCTTATTATTTGTGTGTCCTAAATATTCTCAACATTCATTATATGTATGTATATTTGTTTGTATAAAATGAGAGAGCGAGAATAAGGAACTATTTCTACTTGACTTTGTTGTTTATTTATTATCGATTTATATGTTAAACTTTACTTAAAACTTCTTCAGAAAACTTTTTTTTCTTCGTTCCGTTAAATGGTGCTAATCTGATAATATTATGTTATATTCATTTTTACCATCAGAAAATTATTTATTAAATGTAAGTTTTAATATTTATTAATTGTTTTTATAGATGCGAAGAGAATACAATTATTTACACCTGAATTCAAGTATAATACTTGATTAAAGATGAAATTCAGTAATGTAGAAAATTAACTTTAAATAGATATATACTACCGTAAGAAGCCTAGGAAAAAAGAAGAAGAATGTATATAGAAACAAACTTGCATGCATAAATTGATTGAAGAATTGTAACTACGATAGTTGAATGAATGAAACTACGATAGTAATTTTTCTTTAAATCTCGACTTATCAATGGGAAATTTATTCAATACAGCTCTTGGTTCTAACATATAGTAGAGGCGGAGTATTAATTCTACTTTCTATACAAACGAAGAGACGGAAAATATTATAGAATCGTCAGTTATGCACATATAAATGATAATATTTTGTGATTATTCGATGTATGGTTTGAAATAAAGACATTTATGCATGTCTATATTAAAGAGAAAAACGCTTAACTGTTTATATAACTGCATACTCGATAAAGTGACATATATTAATTCATCATAGTCGGATTTATAAGAGAAAATAATAGTAAAGATTAGAATTTGTATTGTTTTATTTGGTTCTTTAGACTGTTGTTCCAACATTAGTATCATCACAAAATGGTTTAACTGGTCCTGTTCAAACAAGTTCAACCATTCCTCCATCATCAGCTACTGCATATGTAACATCGACGAATACGTCTCCTCATCAACCAACATTATCTAGTCAATATCATCATCATTATCAATATGCAACAATTGCAGCTCAACCTCAGACACGTACAACAACAACGACAAATGGAACAACTAATGGACTTATTCATCAGTCTGATTCAGCACTTACTGCTCATCCACAATATCATCATCAACTGATATTACAACAACAACAGCCTTTGATACCTTCTTCAACGTCAAATTCATCTTCGTCATCTTCATCACCATCACACCAACAAAATGTCAATCATTTATCATCAAATCCTTATTTGAATGGATCAAGTGAATCTCAATCTCAAACATTAATGAACAGTAATCATAAAAACAGTCAGTCACCAGATCAAAATGATACGGTATATATATGCTCAATTCACTACTTTGCAAAACAAATTGACAGGATACATTAAATTTGATAGAAATTTTGGGTTTCTACAAATTATAGGATGATTTTTTCAGCTTAGTGGTAGATTCTACTTGATGGTAATGTAAAAGAAAGATATCGTAGCCAGGGTTTCCGATTGTTCTTAGGGATGGAAGGGGCTAAAAGTTTTGCTTCGCAGAAAGTTGCTGGCGAAAAAATGTTTTTGAAATTTTTGGCAGAAAATTGTTGGTAGAAAAACGTCAAAGATTTTGCCAGAAAGTCCACACATTTTTTTAGGGAGGAGCCAGCATTCCTCTCCGCCTCTGATCTTAGCTATAAACTCACATGATCCTCAACTGTGTAGTTTGATTGGATGAGGAGCTACGACATTTAGAAAACGTGACAGACTGATGGAAAAGTGGACAAGCCCAGTAATTTTACTTAAATAGAACAAGTTTTATAGAAATTTCACTCTCATGGTCTAGCTAGCTATGTTCTAGTTTGCTTCTATTTTAGGCTCAATCAAATTCTAGTTCAACATCATCTTCGATCAATAATAAGTCTCCACAAAACAATCACTCATCGAGTGTCACTCCACCAAATACCAGTACGTCATCTTTATCGGCTACCAGTAGCAGTGGTACAGCAGCGAATTCATCAAATACTCAAAAACGTTTACATGTATCAAACATACCGTTTCGTTTTCGAGATGAAGATTTAAAAGCAATGTTTGGAGTATGTCTTCATTTTTAATTCAATCTCTTATAATGTCAAGATTATCCTCATTCATTTTTGTTTTCTAGCAATTTGGTGATATTGTTGATGTTGAAATTATTTTCAATGAACGTGGATCAAAAGTAAAATGAACAAAAAATTTTCAGGATATTATTAATTTATCATTTTATTTTTTGTATTTAAGGGTTTTGGATTTGTGACATTTGCTCTGTGTGAAGAAGCTGATCTTGCACGAGAAAAATTACATGGTGCTGTTGTTGAAGGAAGAAAAATTGAAGTATGTTTAGTTTTATTTAATATTTCTCAATTATTATATGAGAGCTGTTATTGAGTGAGGAGGGAAATAATAAGGAAGAGATATGCCATCTTTAAACGATAAATACTTTTTTTCTATTCTATTAATTTTGTTCCCAAAACAAACTTTTATTTCCATACGTTCAAAGTTTTTGTATTGACCATTAAAAATAGTTGATAATTCTATACATTTTTCGTTCATGCACTGGTTCACTATTGAACGAAAGAGAAACTCAGTATAAAATGGTATGACTAATATATATAAATATACATATTAGCTAACTGTTCGTTAGCCAAAATACAAAACTTTCAAAATTTATGCTATTTTTATAGCAATGTTAGAGATTACTTGAAATCATCTTTTACGTACTTTCATATACAAGCTTTTTTATGCAATTATTCTTGTATTTACAACAGAAAAACAGATTGAGATTAGAGTATGCGCGCAAATTTGAAAGTAGAAATTTAAGATCTTATTTGAAACTAACTTCAAATTATTAAATGTTAAATTGAGATTTTAGTGTTAACGTAAACAATTAATAAAACATGTATAAAAATTCCAAAGTTTTTCTATATTTGTTTCTAGTATTTTTATCCGTCTCCACAGACTGGCTACTAAAGAACAAACTATAGGTATCTAGAATAAACAAATCACTTTCTCATTAGTATGTTATAAAAACTTGAAACAAGCTACCAATATTTTTCGTTCGTTTTTTATATTGATTTTGCATGCCTGTCTGTGGCTGCTTGTATGTCTATTATCATCATTATACTAGGTCTCTAGAAGAAAAAAGAAAATTGAGCTTCATTTAAAAAAATCGAATCAAAGCACAAACGTAGGATTTGTGCATATATTGGCGCATGAATGTTATGATTTTTTGTCTCATCTCAAAATGTGTACTAAACGTAGTCTATAACCGGTAGAAGTATATATAAATCAGTGATAAAAACAAAACAAAAAACAATAAACATTAACTTTGATTGATTTGGATACTTATTGTTGTTCTCTCTTCAATACGTTGTTGTTATTTGTTAGTTTAGACTTTCGGATAATATACGCGCACACATATACACACACTCACTCAACGTGTTATCGAAATTATTAATTTTCCATCTATTTTTCGCATGTGCATGATTGTTAAAAACAGATCTCGTCTTTGTAGTCGTCAAATAAAAAAAGAAAAAAGGAAGTGAGTATAATTAAGAGAGAGAGAGAGAGAGAGAAAGCCACATTGGTTCGATAGAAGTGCCACAATCTTACAATAAAACGAGTATGTATAATCGTACGTCGTTTGCTGGTATACAGACTCATCTATTGTACATGAAAATGGTTTGGTTTGTATCATACATTTATACTTATTTCAAATGTTTATTGGTGAGTTGTAAGTAAACGTAATATTGTTGCCTTTTTGTGAAGAAACAACTATTTGCGTAAAGATTTTACCGTTTGACGAAGTGAAATTAAAATTGATTATCACAACAGTCTTTTGCATGTAATTCACTATAAAATTCATCGATCAAGCTACAGTCTTTTGTCCTACTCGAAGCTAATGTTCTGTTTTAGTCGGCACTTTTACTGGCCTCTCTAACTGCACTTATTCATTCTGGGGTTATGAACTTATACGCGTAAGATACAGTTTAAGAGGCTAGTCTTATTTATGCGAGCGAAACTTGCTTTTTAAAGACTAAATTAAAAATACTCATGATATATGAGTTTTAATATGCTTTAAATTCAGCATGTTTTTATAAAATTTCACCGAAAGGTCTCTCTCCGACTCACACATGTTTAGTTCATTAATACTAACTGATCTATTTTTGAGCATAAGTCGCACACACACACATGCATTCTATACTCACATTCTCAAATGCTATCAAACGCATGACAGCATCCCTTTGTAACACACACATACTTGGTGATTTGTGTATGGCGTATAATCGATTTATTTTTTTCTAATTTTGATCGTTTAAAGATGGCATATCTCTTCCTTATTATTTGTGTGTCCTAAATATTCTCAACATTCATTATATGTATGTATATTTGTTTGTATAAAATGAGAGAGCGAGAATAAGGAACTATTTCTACTTGACTTTGTTGTTTATTTATTATCGATTTATATGTTAAACTTTACTTAAAACTTCTTCAGAAAACTTTTTTTTCTTCGTTCCGTTAAATGGTGCTAATCTGATAATATTATGTTATATTCATTTTTACCATCAGAAAATTATTTATTAAATGTAAGTTTTAATATTTATTAATTGTTTTTATAGATGCGAAGAGAATACAATTATTTACACCTGAATTCAAGTATAATACTTGATTAAAGATGAAATTCAGTAATGTAGAAAATTAACTTTAAATAGATATATACTACCGTAAGAAGCCTAGGAAAAAAGAAGAAGAATGTATATAGAAACAAACTTGCATGCATAAATTGATTGAAGAATTGTAACTACGATAGTTGAATGAATGAAACTACGATAGTAATTTTTCTTTAAATCTCGACTTATCAATGGGAAATTTATTCAATACAGCTCTTGGTTCTAACATATAGTAGAGGCGGAGTATTAATTCTACTTTCTATACAAACGAAGAGACGGAAAATATTATAGAATCGTCAGTTATGCACATATAAATGATAATATTTTGTGATTATTCGATGTATGGTTTGAAATAAAGACATTTATGCATGTCTATATTAAAGAGAAAAACGCTTAACTGTTTATATAACTGCATACTCGATAAAGTGACATATATTAATTCATCATAGTCGGATTTATAAGAGAAAATAATAGTAAAGATTAGAATTTGTATTGTTTTATTTGGTTCTTTAGACTGTTGTTCCAACATTAGTATCATCACAAAATGGTTTAACTGGTCCTGTTCAAACAAGTTCAACCATTCCTCCATCATCAGCTACTGCATATGTAACATCGACGAATACGTCTCCTCATCAACCAACATTATCTAGTCAATATCATCATCATTATCAATATGCAACAATTGCAGCTCAACCTCAGACACGTACAACAACAACGACAAATGGAACAACTAATGGACTTATTCATCAGTCTGATTCAGCACTTACTGCTCATCCACAATATCATCATCAACTGATATTACAACAACAACAGCCTTTGATACCTTCTTCAACGTCAAATTCATCTTCGTCATCTTCATCACCATCACACCAACAAAATGTCAATCATTTATCATCAAATCCTTATTTGAATGGATCAAGTGAATCTCAATCTCAAACATTAATGAACAGTAATCATAAAAACAGTCAGTCACCAGATCAAAATGATACGGTATATATATGCTCAATTCACTACTTTGCAAAACAAATTGACAGGATACATTAAATTTGATAGAAATTTTGGGTTTCTACAAATTATAGGATGATTTTTTCAGCTTAGTGGTAGATTCTACTTGATGGTAATGTAAAAGAAAGATATCGTAGCCAGGGTTTCCGATTGTTCTTAGGGATGGAAGGGGCTAAAAGTTTTGCTTCGCAGAAAGTTGCTGGCGAAAAAATGTTTTTGAAATTTTTGGCAGAAAATTGTTGGTAGAAAAACGTCAAAGATTTTGCCAGAAAGTCCACACATTTTTTTAGGGAGGAGCCAGCATTCCTCTCCGCCTCTGATCTTAGCTATAAACTCACATGATCCTCAACTGTGTAGTTTGATTGGATGAGGAGCTACGACATTTAGAAAACGTGACAGACTGATGGAAAAGTGGACAAGCCCAGTAATTTTACTTAAATAGAACAAGTTTTATAGAAATTTCACTCTCATGGTCTAGCTAGCTATGTTCTAGTTTGCTTCTATTTTAGGCTCAATCAAATTCTAGTTCAACATCATCTTCGATCAATAATAAGTCTCCACAAAACAATCACTCATCGAGTGTCACTCCACCAAATACCAGTACGTCATCTTTATCGGCTACCAGTAGCAGTGGTACAGCAGCGAATTCATCAAATACTCAAAAACGTTTACATGTATCAAACATACCGTTTCGTTTTCGAGATGAAGATTTAAAAGCAATGTTTGGAGTATGTCTTCATTTTTAATTCAATCTCTTATAATGTCAAGATTATCCTCATTCATTTTTGTTTTCTAGCAATTTGGTGATATTGTTGATGTTGAAATTATTTTCAATGAACGTGGATCAAAAGTAAAATGAACAAAAAATTTTCAGGATATTATTAATTTATCATTTTATTTTTTGTATTTAAGGGTTTTGGATTTGTGACATTTGCTCTGTGTGAAGAAGCTGATCTTGCACGAGAAAAATTACATGGTGCTGTTGTTGAAGGAAGAAAAATTGAAGTATGTTTAGTTTTATTTAATATTTCTCAATTATTATATGAGAGCTGTTATTGAGTGAGGAGGGAAATAATAAGGAAGAGATATGCCATCTTTAAACGATAAATACTTTTTTTCTATTCTATTAATTTTGTTCCCAAAACAAACTTTTATTTCCATACGTTCAAAGTTTTTGTATTGACCATTAAAAATAGTTGATAATTCTATACATTTTTCGTTCATGCACTGGTTCACTATTGAACGAAAGAGAAACTCAGTATAAAATGGTATGACTAATATATATAAATATACATATTAGCTAACTGTTCGTTAGCCAAAATACAAAACTTTCAAAATTTATGCTATTTTTATAGCAATGTTAGAGATTACTTGAAATCATCTTTTACGTACTTTCATATACAAGCTTTTTTATGCAATTATTCTTGTATTTACAACAGAAAAACAGATTGAGATTAGAGTATGCGCGCAAATTTGAAAGTAGAAATTTAAGATCTTATTTGAAACTAACTTCAAATTATTAAATGTTAAATTGAGATTTTAGTGTTAACGTAAACAATTAATAAAACATGTATAAAAATTCCAAAGTTTTTCTATATTTGTTTCTAGTATTTTTATCCGTCTCCACAGACTGGCTACTAAAGAACAAACTATAGGTATCTAGAATAAACAAATCACTTTCTCATTAGTATGTTATAAAAACTTGAAACAAGCTACCAATATTTTTCGTTCGTTTTTTATATTGATTTTGCATGCCTGTCTGTGGCTGCTTGTATGTCTATTATCATCATTATACTAGGTCTCTAGAAGAAAAAAGAAAATTGAGCTTCATTTAAAAAAATCGAATCAAAGCACAAACGTAGGATTTGTGCATATATTGGCGCATGAATGTTATGATTTTTTGTCTCATCTCAAAATGTGTACTAAACGTAGTCTATAACCGGTAGAAGTATATATAAATCAGTGATAAAAACAAAACAAAAAACAATAAACATTAACTTTGATTGATTTGGATACTTATTGTTGTTCTCTCTTCAATACGTTGTTGTTATTTGTTAGTTTAGACTTTCGGATAATATACGCGCACACATATACACACACTCACTCAACGTGTTATCGAAATTATTAATTTTCCATCTATTTTTCGCATGTGCATGATTGTTAAAAACAGATCTCGTCTTTGTAGTCGTCAAATAAAAAAAGAAAAAAGGAAGTGAGTATAATTAAGAGAGAGAGAGAGAGAGAGAAAGCCACATTGGTTCGATAGAAGTGCCACAATCTTACAATAAAACGAGTATGTATAATCGTACGTCGTTTGCTGGTATACAGACTCATCTATTGTACATGAAAATGGTTTGGTTTGTATCATACATTTATACTTATTTCAAATGTTTATTGGTGAGTTGTAAGTAAACGTAATATTGTTGCCTTTTTGTGAAGAAACAACTATTTGCGTAAAGATTTTACCGTTTGACGAAGTGAAATTAAAATTGATTATCACAACAGTCTTTTGCATGTAATTCACTATAAAATTCATCGATCAAGCTACAGTCTTTTGTCCTACTCGAAGCTAATGTTCTGTTTTAGTCGGCACTTTTACTGGCCTCTCTAACTGCACTTATTCATTCTGGGGTTATGAACTTATACGCGTAAGATACAGTTTAAGAGGCTAGTCTTATTTATGCGAGCGAAACTTGCTTTTTAAAGACTAAATTAAAAATACTCATGATATATGAGTTTTAATATGCTTTAAATTCAGCATGTTTTTATAAAATTTCACCGAAAGGTCTCTCTCCGACTCACACATGTTTAGTTCATTAATACTAACTGATCTATTTTTGAGCATAAGTCGCACACACACACATGCATTCTATACTCACATTCTCAAATGCTATCAAACGCATGACAGCATCCCTTTGTAACACACACATACTTGGTGATTTGTGTATGGCGTATAATCGATTTATTTTTTTCTAATTTTGATCGTTTAAAGATGGCATTTTTTCATTTATGTGACACTCTACTACCTCTGTTTGCACTTTAAATATGACAACTTGTCTGTCTCTCTCTCTCTCTCTCTCTCTCTCTCTCTTTTGAACTGCCGCTTATCATAAAATAAAAATTGGGATAAACGCACGGTATATACTTTGTCGATAGATTAGTATGTGTTTTTTCTGTAATTCAAAAAAAGTTAACTACTTTCACATACCAATGGAATGGCTAAATAAAAATAATGATGGCGTCCGCGCAGAGCATGTCGATCATACCGTTGTTTTTTATTTGTTATGTTTCATTCATTCTGCTTTTATTGTAAACAAATAGATATATACTAGTAGCCCATTAACCACAACGCATGCGTCTCTCTCTTTGTCTCTAGGTGAATATGGCTACAGCTCGATCACAGTCGAAACCAAAACAAGTTGTTCCGAATCCATTTGGTTAGTTTTATAATAAGGGGTGTCTGTCTGCTTCTATGATGTTTATTTCTTTATATTTATAAGGTATGATGATGAGTGCAACTCGACAACGTCCAACATTGATTCCAGCAACACAAGCAGGTTTAAGATCAAATTTCGCTACCAGTGTTGCACTTCCTGGTGGATATACGTAAGTACTTTAAACATCGAAAAGTTTTAATTTACTTAAATTCAATGTTTTGTGTTTCTCTTCAGCATATATTCTGATCAATTAGCAGCACTTGGTGGTATGACTGCTTATCCATTAACAGCACAAACCGGAGGTATCCGATATATTACGACAGCACCTCCAGGCGTCGGACAACCGGGTGGAACATATACGATTGGGTAAAGACTGGAAATTGTTAATATCTAAAACGATTCTTATGGTAGATTTTAAATGACGCTGAATTGAAATCTTTTTCTATTTCAGTGTTCTTCCAATGGGAAATGGAACTGGTCAACCGACTGGTTATATCATTAATAGTCAACCAGCTCAAATGGCAACGACTCAACAACTAGGGTAAATATGAAGCATTTTTTTTCCAACCGTTTGATGTTACGGATTTTGACGTGTTTGCTCGATTTGTGGTGAATATCTTGAGTTATTTCCTAGATTTTATCCTATTTTTCTATTATTTTTTTCTTCTATTCGCTATGTTTTTGCAGAATAACTGGTCCGATTCGTACTTTACCAACATTTGCATCATTGGTATGAAAGTCTCGTTCTTGTTTTTTAAATAAAAAAGGAATTGACACATACAACAGCAACATTGTATCACAACAGATAGGATTTTTAATATATAGTTATTTTAAACTCAATCAATATAATCTTATCGTCATGAGCTTAATCATATATTATAGTTTAAAAAAATATATATCGTTATATCGATTAGAAGCTTTTCAGAGTTTTTAGAAAGAAAGTAAGGGCTTGACTATTAGGTTACAGCTGCAGAAACGGTCTAAATATCTTGCATCTTCTCATGTCTACAATACGAACAGATGTCTAACGGTGTAAGTGCGATGGCGATTTTGAAATATTTATTTGCATGTGAATGCGTGTATTATCAGAGTCTATATTTGCATGTTTACCGTCGAAAAAAATATTTCAAAAAAAGAAAAGCTTTTAGATGGGAAAGTACAGTAAAAAATGATTTTTTTAGTAAGTTTTGAACAAGATATAGCTTTGATATATGCATGTTGCGTATGTGTTATATGCCGAGATTTTGAAAAAACCAACAATAAAAAATCGATATGCCTTTTAGTGAATGTTACACAATTTGACACAATGGCTGTCTCTTTATCTTCTAGCTCAATAACTGAATAGTATTTACTCAAATTTTAAACTTATTAATAGTATTTTTTTTTTTAATTTTAGACATGCTTACCCGGAAACTGCTTATATAACTACTGCGCCTGGAACAATCGGACCTATTCCAGTAAGTTGTAATAGAATCAATCTTAGCCTAATAATGTAGATTAATCATTATATTTATGATATTTATATAAATTTTCTTTATCTTTTTTTCAGAGTATGAATAATACGGTACATCGTTATCGGCCATATTGAATTAATCGTTTATTATCAGTGTCACCTAGTTTTGTTGAACAGTAGTATATTTGCTATTGATTATCATACTGCCCATTTATCATTAATCTAGTTTCATTTTTTTGTTATTCTTATTACTTTCTCTATTCGCTATTGTAAATATCATCATACGTCATCAACGTGCTTCCCTTACGTTATCATTCATACACACAGTGATGAGAATATATAGATCTACTGTCTTGCTGATACTGATACAACTACTTTATTTTAATCTCTCTCTCTTTCATTGTATAATAAACATTTATTTTTGGTCAACAACAAATCAAAATACGCGTATATCAACGATAATCTGTCTTTTGGTCATGCTGATACAACTTTTTTCTCTTCTTTTTTTTTGTGACGAACATATGCAGGGTATGTGTATGTTATGTATTTTTTATTCTTCGTTTTGCTCAAAAAACAAAAGTGCAATCAATAAAGTATATATTGTTTTCGTTTGTTTTTGTTTTTGTTTTTTATATTCCTGCCCAGGTTGAATCTCTCTTTTGTTCTTACATTGTTTGTATACAACCCGGTTTATGTTTTTTATATCGTGCTATGGAACTAAGCGCTTCCCTTGATTGCATTTATTATATCCATCAGCGAACAATCGTTTTAAGAGAACAAAACAAAAAAAATCTGTTGTTTTTGGTGCTATATTTTGTAATTATTCTGTTCTTTGTAATCTCTAAGGAGTGATTTTCATAAGTCAAAAACTATCATCATTTATTAAAGCTTTAATTATATGTTGAGTCCAAAGATTCCTATTTTTCTCTTTTTTTTTTGTGTGTGTCTCTGTTAACCGAGTGTGTACATGTTTCTCATAAAAAAAGAAAAGTAGCCACAGATCTGTTTTCATTTCTTTTATTATTATTATGCCATTTAACAATACCAGAAATTTTGCCTATGGTCTATTTCAACCATAAAGTTTTTTTTTCTTTTTTTGGTTTGTTTGTTTTTGGTTTTTTGGTTTCTTTCATATATATGCACACACATACACACACACACACACACCACACACACACACGCACAAAAGAAACTAGAGTTGTTGTTTTCTTTTTTTTGTTGTTATTTCATCTACATATAAATATATCTATAACTACGATATTTAATTAGAAGAAAAATAGTAAAACAGAAACGAACTTATGCGTAAAATTTGATAGCATAACTAATGATGCAGTATTATTGTTCGTACAATAATATTACATCATGAGTTACTCTATCAAAAATTTTACACAGAATCACAATAATAATGTACAAGAATACACAGTTATGCTATGTTCATTTCGAATCTTACAACTATGTAATTCTCACATAGATGTATCATTTTAATGAAATAAGAATTTATCAATATTTCAAATATTCAACAATGAACACTTTTGCTAAGTCTATTATAAAATACACGTACAACGCGTATGTCTCGGGATATTATAAAATATTCGAATAATTCAAGTTTCTTTTCCATTTTCCATCTACGCTCATTGTTTGTAAATATATATTTTAACGAAGAAAAATTGAATACATAATCAATCGAAATCATCAGCATTTGAGTTATTATAGCGTTCATAATATTCTATTTGTATACTCCTTAAAAATGAAAATATAGATTTTCGAAATGTCGGAATAAATAAATATTCAAATGACGTTATATAAAGCTGCAGTGAAAATCTTATTTTTACTTCTAAATCATCAAACATTTTCGATGATAACTCGTTCATTTTACTTACTTTTTAAGAAAAACCGATCTTGTCAAAATTTGAAAATATTTTAAGAAGAAGACATCCTCAAATTAAAATCTGATATTATCCGTAGTGAGAGAGAGATCTCGACGAGTTATTTCCAATAACATTCATAAACGCTCAGATGAAATATACGAACAACCACAAACAGTTCAAAACAAGTAATATTTAACATTTAGAAGCTCTAATTTAATTTGTATCTTACTGTTTAAAATTACGCTACTACTTCTTTAAACAAGACACGATTATATTTCTGACCCGTCATGATCGTTTATCGAAATAATCGTCTCATTTTATTCAATTTATATACAAAAAGGAAAGCTGATATTAACGATTTTGTTATTGTTTTTCGAAGTAATTCATCATTGAGTAATCTCAAAAATAGTTGGAAGTCAATTAGAATCACATATTACTCGAATATTCTCATAAATTTCTACAACTAATTTCACAAGCAGAACAACGATTCAAATTTTTTACAGTAATGAATATACTGAAGTTCGATACACCCTGAATAACAAGACAAGATAAATGATTTAGTTTTCTTACAGAATCAAAGGAAGATTTGACAACGTTGTGGTAAATTGATGCCGTATAAATTCCAAATGTCATTATGCTTCGTTAATCGAATGAAGCCGTGCTTGAAGATCGATTATTTTGCTATTGCTAGAAGTATTTTGAATTTTACTATCAATTAATCATTCAGAACTGCAGATTTCGTTGATATTAAATCTTAGATGTATTTAGATTTTTTCATTTTAACTTTTATCGAAAATATGCTAGAAAATTTTTCATTAGTACTAGTCTTTGAACCAAGATTCGAGACTCTGTTTTGTGGTTAGAGTATAAATCATCGTTGGTTGTTTTAATAGTTTCTAGTCAAGAACCGAAACTTATGAACCAAATTTATGAACTGCAAGTCTGAATTTTTATACCGATAACCAAAGAAACATTTCTAATTTCCCGCTAATAGGTAGTTCAGAAGAAAGCCTGAAACAAGTTTGTGTATTATATTTGCTCTGATTTCGGGATGTTTATTGATGAATGTAAAGAAAATTGTAGTTGGATTCATTCAATCTATGTCTAATTACGAAGAATCAGCTTTTTATAATATCACTTCGTCTCCTACGAATGTTTTCACACAGATTCACAGATTTAGAAGAATAGTTCGACCATGAAGAAGATCAAACGGTCTAATATATGGACTTTATTTGACCAGATAGTGAAAATGACATAACGCTTATTCACGTGTATTAACTCATCAAACATTCTAGTTGTGCTAAAGTCTTGATCGGCCATCTAATGGTTATTCAATTTTTAGTCATGATCCAAAATATTTTCATATCCAATGATGTGTTGTTGTGTTTGAACTGCTCCAACTGGTTTTGTAGCCAAGATTGCTTTTTGTTTTCTTCTTGGTAGAAAACAGGCAAATATAAAGAAAAGAATATGATAAATAACATAAATACCGGCAAAACCAGTGAGAACATATTGATCCAGTGTAGTAGTTAAATGAATGAAATCTGTTT